CAGTTGATTCTCCTAGATGTAATATTAGGTTTTTATTCTTTCTTTAACAGCTTCAAATTTTGGATTAGACTTTCAAGCAGTGGACGCATGCTGTCTAATTCCATTTGAAATTAGGCTCCTAAACCATGGTATCGGTGCCCAACTTCAAAACGGCGTATAAGAAACACGGTGAAAGGTATGTATGGGTCGATGGCAAAGTCGGTATCGCGTCTGTCTGCCATGCTGGTTTTTGTAACTCCACAGCGGTAAACAGAGGATCCCAGTTCGAATCTGGGTCGACTCGTAAGAATTGAGAGTTTTCGGAAATAATTTTTTTATTCCTTCGATGCAGTAGTGAATTTAATAGTTGGTGTAGAGGTATCTGATATCAATTTCTCGTTTTGCTTCTACATGGGAACGGTATTTTCAATTCTTGCATCTGAATCACCCTTTGCCGTCGTGGATAAATCGAAATTGTATGGCTGAAGGGTACTCTATTACGCAGCTTCAAATGAGGTATATAGAACATGAATGCATATTTCTTCTAAGATTAGTTCCTCGTCTTTGAAGTGTTCGCTCTCTATCATATTAATAATAATACTAAAACATATGAAATAGCAAGTTCAGTGTCGGTTGTTTCTTTTGCGATCGACACGCTTGTGCCATTGCTATTCGACTTTCAAATCAATTAGAAATGGCGCAGTTCCCATGACTTAGTACAGTATTACTCAATACAAACCATCGTCACTCCACTGGAAGAAAACACAATTTCACTCACGAAATGTCGGTCATGTCCGAAAATGCTCAGCTTCAGTACAGAATAGATGGATAGAAGCTCTAATTCCACTCAATCGGAATTCGATGATCAGACATGATATGTTGAGTCAATATTGCTTACACTTTGTTATCTAATCGAAATCAATGACAGAGAGCGGGTATAAAAGACTAGTTTGGGGTGTCTTGGCTTCATCCCCAACTTGTACCTGCTGCGATGCCCACGACCATCATCGTTTTGCTCAAGCGTCACCCCGAAATCACAAATGAGGAGTTTATCAATGGCTGGTGCGTCTCTGATACAGTATTACTATTATAGATAGTCCCTTATCTATGATTAATCCTTCCGAAATATGCGTTCAGTAACGCTGGAGTCCCACATTTCCAGTCTATGGGAATCTTCAAGCAGGGTATAGTTAAGAGATTTAACAAGGTGATTTTTATATATAGAGAACTATTCTTTATCTTCTGTCAGCACGACCAACAGTTGAATATCACAGTTCCATGTCGACCCAGAGCAAGCGAAACAATTATCCACATTGAAGCCCGGTTTTGCTGTATCCAGCTTCGATGCAATGGTTGAAGTCGAGGTAAACAGTCTCGAAGAATTTATAACGGATTCCGAACACGCTGAATATCTCGAAGTAAGTGGTATGTCCAGTAATAGCCGTATCCCGTTCTAACCATATCATTCAACTATCTCAGAAAGTCGCTGGAATGCAGCAGAAACTCATAGATCTAAGCTCTCTCCAAATCATGATTGGGGATTACGATGTGAAGTTCCCTTAGGTATAATTGAATAATTAATAATACAAGAAGTGTCGTGGCACTATCTCGGAACATGTTTATATAAAACTCGGATGTCAGTCTTCCATCTACTCTTGAAAGTATGGGTCGATAGACAATGAGCGACTGATTTGGTTGGGAGGAGTCAAAAGGACCGAGGTGTGGATTAGACTAGATATGTGAGCAACAGGCCTTCGACGGGTGACGAGTTCGTAATGAGGACGGCTAGCGGAGATAACTTGCTGGGTGTGGGGCGACGAGGGGTTGGAGCTGATCGAGGTGCTGTAGACCTGGCGAGAGCTGGGTAGTGGGCTGAAGAGAACAATGTCGAGGATTGAGGGGCACCTCACTTGGCGATAGTCGGGCTGGGTATAGGTAGTCCATGGCCATGTCCTGTATTCATCAGTGTCCGTCTCTTCGTCGTTGTTCCCATGATCCTCCAGTTGAACTCTTCTAACTTCAGATGGCTTTCAGCTGTATCAATAAAGCTCCGAGTATGAGAGCGGGAACAGGCACGGAGCTTAGTTAGGAAGTATATGCCTTGAGAATGGAAGTCGGGGACCACCAGTGGGCGTCTGACCAAAGAGACTAGTGGCAATTCAGCTGGAAATTCCCGGAGGTTCCAAAAATAACCAAGGTCAATAACGAGTACCGCTCAGCCACATTTTTTTCTTCATCGTTGGATCTTTGCCCTATTCCTCCACTTCGAAGTACGACCTTCATTGCTCTCTAGCTCTCACATGACTGGATGGCATGACTAGTCATCGCACATGTCTAGCATATCTTTGTTCTACAAGTTTGTGTGCACAGATGGCTTTCAGTTCGAACATGAATTGACTCACCAACTACTGCAACTTAAGTTATCTAAGCTTTACTTCCCCAGGGCACTTGAAAATCATATGGTTTGTAACACGAAGACTCATAAAATCTTCTCCATTCCATATCTAGATGGGCCTGCATATTTCGAAGTCGACACCCACAGTTTCTTCAATTTAACATATGCATATCAAGATCTTGCAGTTTGAATCGAAATTCTCTCGGTCTTCTTAGCCTCTAGTACTTTATAGGTATAGAACTGTGGTAAAGCTAGTGTCACTGCTCACATCTATCTACTATGCATAGTATCTCTAGAAGTCTAAGTAGAACATCCCATTTCGGACCCCATTTCAACTGATGGAGCCATTTGATGATGAAACTTTTTGGAAGAGGGTGTGCTAGCTGATTCTTCCATATGTATATTTTCTTTTGCATCTCAAGATTCGAATTTAGAAGATATATCAATGGGGATTTTGAGCAGTACACATCAGGCTCTTTAACGTTCTAAGCCTAGTTGTTGCCCAACTTCAACATCATATAAGAGCCACTGCATGCGTGAAAAGTATGTGTCGATGGCAGAGCTAGGATCACACCTATATAAGATATAATGTTCTCCGTACTATAAACCCAAATAGAAGGTCTCAGTTCGAACCTAGATACATTCATTTGGAGGTCTTGTTTGACTCCAAACTGGATCTCACATTTCGGATCTCACAAATACAGTACTTAATATTCAAACACTGGAACCGATTTTTTCGCCTTCATCAGTTGCCGGAACTCTGCTTTTAATAATATGGAACACGATAACTCTCTAGCTTTTCTCTAGTACGAGTTGATGGCTTATCAAGTACCTCTCCTACTCTTAGGTGCTATCAAGTTGTGCAGAGAATTTTGATAGTTCAATCTTATATCGGCTCATAATGCTTATTGTACTCACATCTTTGGTTCACTGGCTAAGAATGAGGGTATAATCGTAGTTCATCCAACTTAAAAAAAAGTTTTCAGTTCAAATCTAGATTTACTCTTCCGCAAATGAATGAGTTCTCTAAAATTTCTCTTCGTCGTAGGTACATCAGCTGATTTTGGTGGTTGGCGTGGATTAAGCTCATACCAACATCTGGTTTTACTACTTTAAAGGAATGGTATCTACAATTTTCGCATCTGAATCACTGTGCGTGGTCGTGACGAAATTAAAGTTATATCACTCAACTAATATCCCTGAAGGATAGTGCTACACTTAGCTCCAAATGTCGGTCAAATAGCATGATGGCATGTGTCTACTAGGTTCAACCTCCCGCCGTTGAAGTCCCCCACTCTCCATCACATATACAGAGATAGCTAACCGTGGCAAGCTGGGATAATGTAACCTGGGAAGTAGCGAGTCTACTGTTTATTTTTGAAATCTACATACTCACACCGTCGTCACTTGACTCGAAGAAAACATAACCTCCCCTCGAAATGTCGATTAAGCTTAAAGATGCTTCGGCACTCGTAGTATAACCTGGGAAATACCCTCATGCTTCTGTATCGATTAGCTATTTCAAATCAAACAGGAATATAGCAATATCCACTAATAACTTACCTGATACACGTTATCGTCACTTGATTGGAATAAAACAAGTTCACCCTCGAAATGTCGATTAAGCTCGGAGATTCCCAACTTCAATGCTCAGAATAACTGGATATCAGCGCTACTTCAGCTCAATTGGAATTCAATGACAGGACACCATATGTTTCACAACTATCACTTAGGCTTTGTTATCTATTCAAAATAAATTAGCAGGCTTAAAAGACCAGTTTGCGAAAGCGTTAACTTCATCCCGATTTCTATTGCATCTTTTGCTCATCTTCTTTCTGATAAACGTCTACTACTATGCCTACGACCATCATTGTTTTGTTCAAGCGTCGCCCTGGAATCACGAACGAGGAGTTCATCAACGGCTGGTACGTCTCTGCGATATAGGTAATCCATTAGCTATGATTAACATGCTGACATCTGCATCTAGTAACACCGCAGTCCCACAGTTCCAGTCTATGGGCGTCTTCAATCAGGGTAAAATTACCCGATTTAATAAGGTAGGTTTTCAGATATCTTTCACTCATCCCCCGTTGTAGCGGCTAATATCTAAACACTACAGTTCCATGTCTCTCTAGAGCAAGCTAAGCAGTTGTCCTCGCTGAAGCCCGATGTTGCTGCATCTAGCTTCGATGCGATGGTTGAGCTTGAGGTGAACAGTATCCAGGAATTTATAGGAAATTTTGACCAGTCTGAATATCTTGAGGTAAGTGGGGTGACCAGTAATAGTCATATCTGATTCTGACCATGTTATTCGACTATCTCAGAAAGTTGCTGGAGCGCAGCAGAAGCTCATCGACCCAAGCTCTCTCCAAGTCATGATTGGCGGTTACGACGTGAAGTTCCCTTAAGCTTAATTGTATAGTAATTATGCAAGAAATTTCCTGTTACTACCTCTGGACGTGTATATACGAGGACTCGAATACCAAATGTCTATGCACTTCTTGATAACTACAAAGTTCTGAACTGATACTGATTTATATTCGTACATTTCCGCATCGGTATACGTTATTTTGGTAGGATTACAACAGATTTTTGAACTTAAGTCCAAGGTCCCTGGTGTGATTCCCATCTTGAAACGCTTATTCGCGTGCCCACTGCCTCAGTCTGCTTCCAGTTTAAATGCTCGATCCCGGTCTGGTTTAGAGATTTAATCTAATTTTTTACGACATACAGCGTTGGGAGTGAGTCCGTGCATTTCAAGTAGGACTCGTTGTACGCATAAGCTGCACGGCCTAATTCGTCTACTCTTCCACTCTGTTGGAATATGAGCGTCAAGACTACGAGCATTCGCAATCACGTTCTCAGGTACATTTTAATCTATCATTTCAAGCTGCCATTATCACTATACT